CAGAGACAGATCTTTATTTTAAAGTAATTTGAAGATGATAAAGTAAATGCCAGCAAACTGTCTCAAAGATGTAATCACAAGGCAAGGAAATTTTTTCCATTTAAAAAATTTTGATACTATAATATAATTGCATCATTTCTCTTCTTCTCTTTCTTCCCTCCAATCCGTATCTTATATCCTTCCTTGCTCTTGGGTTTCTTTCTAATTCATAGTCTCTTTTTTCATTAATTGTTTTTCTATGTATGTACTTCTAAACATAACCTGCTCACTCTGTATAATGTTACTGATATGTATATTTTCAGAGCTGACTTTTTGGTACTGGATAACCAATTGGTGTGCTCTTTATAGGAGACTACTTCTTCCACTCTTAGTATTCCTAGTTGCTTGCAGCCCTTTGTGTGGGGTTGAGGCCTTGTGGGCTTCCACTTGTCCTCTTTGGCGTGTCTATTGTCATCCTTACTCATCTCATGGTTAGGCAGTCATGTCGGTGAGACTGTGGGTATAGCTTCTGACAGCAGTAGGAGATACAATCTCACAGAAAAGTCTCGGTTCCCCTGGCTTTTACATTCTTTCTGCTCCCTCCCACTATATTTGGTGAGCCTTAGATGATGAAGTTGTGTTGTACTTGTTTCCATTGGGAATGGGCTCCACAGCTCTGCAGTTTGATTGCTTGTAGTTTCCTGCAATGGTGCATCTGTTACAAAGAGAAGTTTCCTAGGTGAAGGATGAGGACTATAATTATAAGTGGGTTTAAAGACAAATGTTTAGAATGTAGTGAGGGATTATGTTGCTTTAGTGAAGCTGTGGTTGTATGTGCTCCTACAAGATTCTAGGCCTTCTGCATGTAGGTGACAGTTGTGAAGTTTGATCTGTTTGTAAGGCTCCTAGCTGTGAGATCAGGACCTGTTTCTGGTGCTAAACTGACTTTTGGGAACTTGTTTCCCATGCTGGATTACCTTGCCCAGCCTTTATGCAGGGGGAAGAGCTCAGTCTTACCTTAACTCTACATCAATTTAATAGGGAGACAACCTACAAAATGGGAAACACAATCTCTACAAAGTCATACATCTGACAGAGTATTAGTATCAAGAAACATTCAAAGAATTAGATATATGAACATCAAGAAAACAACTCAATTAAAAATTATGATATGGAACTAAGCAGAGTTCTCAGAGAGGAAATACAAATGACTGAGAAATATTTTAAAAAAAATATTCAATATCCTTAGCCATCAGGAAAATGCAAATTAAAGCTATTTTGAGGTTTCATCTTACATTTGTCAGAAGTACTAAGATCAAGACAAAACAAAACAAAAAACCCAAATGATTACAGGAATGAATGTGGAAAAAGGGAACCTTTATATACTATTCATGATAGTACAAAAACTAGTGCAGCCACTTTGGAAATCAGTGTGGAGGTTCCTCAAAAGTTAGAAATGGATCTACAACATTATTCAGCTATAACACTCTTGTTATAATTGAAAGAACACTACATCTTACTATGGAGATGCTTGTTTATCCATGCTTATTTCTACTTTATTCATAATAACCAGAAAATGGAAACAGCTAAGGTGTTCACTAACTGATGAATGAATAAAGAAAATATGATACATTCTCACAGTAGAATGTTACTCACTTTAAAGAAGAAATGAAATTATGAAACTCACAGATAAAAATCATGGGGCTAGAAATCATGATTTTGGGTAAAGTTACCCAGACCCAGAAAGACAAATGCCACATGCACATGCCCTCTCACATACATGGATGCTAGCTTTGGATCTTTAGATATGTGTGTTTAGTACCAATGGAGGTCAGGAAACCAATAAGGGGCCATGGGTGGACTTAAATTAAGTTACCTGAAGGGATACAATAAAAAATAGAATACTATGCCAGGTATGGTGATGCACACCTGTAATCCCAGCTTTAGGAGGCAGAACCAGCTAGATATCTGTGAGTTTGAGGATAGCCTCGCCTACATAGTGAGTTCCAGGCCAGTCAAGACTATATATAAGACCCTGTAACAACAACATGAGAATAGGCCAAAACTCTAGAGGAGCAGTTCTCAACTTATGGGTCTCAACCTTTGGGGGTTGAATGGACCATCCACAGGGGTCATGTATCAGATATTTACATTATGATTCATAACAGTAGCAGAATTACAGTTGTGAAGTAGCAATGAAAATAATTTTATGATTGGGGGTCACCACAACATGAAGAAGCATATTAAAGAGTCGCAGCATTAGGAAGGTTGAGAACTGCTCTCGATCATGAGTGTCTAGAATGTATACTAGCTTATGACTAGCTAAGTGACATGCCCTATGAGTTATTCTGCTAAGTAGACATAGTATCAAAATGCCCCTTTAGTCCTTATCTTTATACCCATAGGTTATTCTATCTCTTGACTTTCATCAGAAAAGATTCTTTTTTGAGATGAAAGCTTTTTTTTCTTTCTTATTTCAATAGGCAGTGATTAACACAGAGACTTACAACTGCTAAAGATGCAGATAAACAGAGCCAGTTTCTTGATCAGCATTAAAGGGGACATCTATATCATGCATCCTCTCTCCAAGGATCAAGAATTATTGTTGAAGAGGCACTGGAAAAATGGTAAGAATCAGAGGCAGTGCACATCTATGGGGAAATAGTACTTGCCAGACGTGACAGGGCATTGCACACACGAACCTACAGTGGCTATGATTCCACCCATAATCCTTGTAGAAAATCAAACCAGCCAAAATGCCAGTGTGGAGATGGTTGCTAGGAGCAGAGAGAGTCAGTTTTTTTTTTTTTTTTTTTTTTTTTTTTTTTTTTATTCAGCCCCTGATAGATTACCCATGCTCCAGTAGCTGGTCCTACACTCATAGACACATAGGCTACACTAAGTGAACTTAAGCGGAATTTAAAAAAAGGAGTAAGTGAAGTTTGAAGAGAAAGTGGTTGGTTAGATAGGGAACAGATTGAAGGGGAGAAATGAGTAGATATGATTTAAAAATGTTATATGTACATATAAAATTCTCAAACAATAAATAATGGGGAAAAGAAAAGATTTAAAAAATAAAATTAATGTTCTTTACTGTTCTTGGATTAAAAATACTTTAACAAATATTGACATTACTAATATTTTTCTTTCAAGATATATTTCATATGTTAAAATGTATGAAATATTAATACATTATTCACAGAAAGCCAAAACTTACATATATTGTAAACCAATTTTATGCTTGGCTTATTGTGACTATTTTTTATAAATCAGTGATGAATAATCCAATTATTTTATCATCAGTGTTATGAGATATATGCTTTGGGTATTTGTAGAAAATGATAAATATATAGCTATATATGCATACACACACACACATATACACAAATGCTCATTACCTTAAGTCTTAAGCATTTTAGTGAAGATGTCTTATAGAGAGTTTGCCATGGTTTCCACATCACCAATACTGGAAATCTGTAGCTGATTTGGTTACAGAAAGTCAGATGTGAAATCAAAGAGAATTTCAGTTTCTTCCATTTCTAAACATGACCCTTCAAATACGCAAAGTTATGTGGTTTATTTTTTTCATATAGTAAATCAGAACACTAGTGGCAAATTAATTACAATTTGTTTTTGAAAAACAGGATAACAGTATAATTTGTCAAACGTATGAGATTTTTTTTCTTTACTAAAAAAGTTCTTGGCCAGGCAGTGTTGGTGCACGCCTTTAATCCCAGCACTCGGGAGTTAGAGGCAGGTGGATCTCTATGAGTTCAAGGCCAGCCTGGGCTACAGAGTGAGTTCCAGGAAAGGCGCAAAGTTACACAGAGAAACCCTGTCTTGAAAAAACAAAAAAGTTTTAGTAAAGAATGGGCTGACACTTTAGAAATCAATGTAGATGTTTCTCAAAAACAAAACAAAACAAAACTAGAAATAGAGCTTTCATATGACCCAGCTATACCACTCTAGAGATATATCCAGAAGAGATCTCAACAAACTTTTCTGAAAAGAAAGTATAAATTACCAACAAACAATATAAAAATGTTCAATATCAGCAGTCATCACAAACTGCATTCAAAACAGAAAAGGATAACACCTGACCCAACTAAGATTGGATATTCTCAAAAAAAATTTAGAGACTGATATTAAATGATGACAAAAATGTGAAGAAAGAGGACTCTTGGAACTATTAGTGTGAATATCAATTATTTCCCTAGTATAGAAAAATATGGATGTTTCCATTAAAAGTTAAAAATAGAAGTTCCACATGATTTAATAATTTCATCAAATTGTAGATAACTAAATAAAGTGAAATCACTCACCAATGAGACATCAGCACATGCTGGGGTTTATATCACTGTTTATAATATCTAGGAAATGGAAACAAAAAGCATCCATCATCTGATGAATGGGAAAAAAAAAACCAATGGTTCATAGAACCAAGGAAATACTATTGACAATAAAATACCATTAAAATAAATACATGCTGAATGGACAAGATGGCTCAGCAGTAAAAATGCTTACCACTAATGACTTGAGTTCAGTTCCTGGAACCCACGTTAAAGGAAAGAATTGACTCCAGGAAGTTGTTCTCTGACTTCCAACCATTTGTTGTGGCTCTCACACACATCCAAAATAAATAATAAATAAATCAAAATAAAAAAATTAATTTGCCATCTTGTCCTTCACAGCAACACAGAACAGGAAATCCTACATTCAATGAAGTAATTCAGGCACTGCAAAACAGATCTTGTAAGTCATTCACATGACAAAAATAAAAATGAAAGTCGACCTTCAGGCTGGAAATGATTAAAAGGATCTAAGCTCAGTTCTGAACAGCCACACTGGAAGCTCACAATTTCCTGTAACTCCAGCTCCACAGAGCAAATTTTCTCTGCATGGCCTCACCCATGAACAAAACGCACACAGACACAGAAAATAAGTAAATAAAGAAATATTTTTAAATGAAACCTGGTCTTTTTTTTTTCATCTTAATTTTGTATTTATTAACAAAAGAGTTTCTTAAGGAATATAGCTGGGCTATTTTCTTTAAGAAATTTTCTACTCACTCTACACACCACGCACAGATCCCACCTCCTCCCTCCTCCCACCCCCCAGACCTCCTTCCCAAGCCACCCCACATCCCCACATCCCCCAAATCAAGCTCTCCCATGGGGAGTCAGCAGAGCCCAGCACACTGAGCCAAGGCAGGTCCAAGCCCCACATAGAACTTGAGAGTAGAGCAGAGGTTATCAGATGCCTGGCAGGGAAGTGGGAAGGGGAGAATGGGAACTGGTTAGTGGTGCTAAACTGTGAATAGACAGGAATGAGAAATTTGGGTAAGAAAACCTGAGAGGATAGGTAAGTAATCTTGTCTTCATTGTAACATTCTACAATGTATATATGTATTGGCATATCACATTTACCACATATAAATGAACTACTTTCATGATTTTACACATCAGTTACCAAAATAACAAATTTCAAGAAAGGGTAACAAATATTATTCTGGGTTTTAGAAGCATATCTTATGAGGTGGTGATATACCTCATTGGTGTTAGCAAGAATGCTTGCCTGCTGAGCACAAATTCCTATGCTCAATAACAAGCACTGTACTTCTAATATAGATAATTTATAAATCAGTGAACTTGGACATATAACTAAAAATTACATGTATAAAAATAATTTTTGCATGTTTTTCACATGTTCTGAAGCTTGGGGAAAATTTGAAGAAAGAAATTAACCATTTACTAGCAAAGAACCATGTCTCCATTTTCTGGGTACTTCAATTAAAAGGCTTTCAAAAAAGTTAAGTCCAAGAAAGAATATGATAAAATTTGATAGTATTTATAGAAAACGAGTAAGAACTTAAGTCATCTAAGGGTGGATAGAGGGGTGGCTCAACAGTTAAGTGCTTTTGCTGCTCTAGTACAGGATCCAGGTTCAGTTCCCAGGACCCACATGGGGGATCACACTGTATGTAGCTCCAATTCTAGAGCAATCAACACTGTCTTCTGGCCTCCTCTGGCACTCCATGCATGAGCTGCACTTATACACACAAAGGCAAAGAACTCATGCATATAAAATAAAAATAAATAAATCTTAAAACTAAAGTTGCTGAAGGTCTTCTCTGGTTTATGAATGTGTTGCACTTTAACTGAAGACACCCTACATATTTGGAAATTGCAAATATAGTTTCTAGAAACAAACAAGAGATCTGATTATTAAAATGAAATCCGTAGTAAGAAGAGAGAGCAAGAAAGAGAAAGGGAACCTAAAAGGAGGAAGGGATGACAGTGAGGTACTTTTATTCTCCCAATGATCTTTCAAGTTAGCTAGCTTGTCTATCACCACCACAAGAGGAAGAAGAAATTATGTAATATGTTCATATGATTGAATATGAAAGGGTAAGTTTTTAAAAAAACTATCTATTCTACCTTCTCAGTACTTCAACAAGGCCACAACTCCCAATAATGCTACTCCCTATGAGCTTATGAGGGCCAATTACATTAAAACTAGCACACTGTGAAGAATACAGAGGAGGGAAATTACATACCATCATTTATTCTCTTATTTTTCACTCATTTACTGGCCTTGTTGAAGCAGGTGTAGCCTTGTTAAAGGAAGTGTGTCACCGTGAGGGCAGGCTTTGAGGTGTCATATATGATCAAACTTTGCTCAGTGTGATACACAGACTGCTTCCTGTTGCCTTTGAGTCAACATGTAACAGCTCCTTCTCCAGCACCATGCCTACCTGTATGCTGTCATGCTCCCCACCATGATGATAACAGGCTAAACCTTTGAAACTGTAAGCTTCCACTTCAATTAATTCTTTTCCTTTATAAGAGTCACTGTGGTCATAGTGTCTCTTCATAGCAATTGGAACCCTAATTAAGGGGACAGGTGTTCACGTTGCTGTGTTCTATTAGCATTACCTGTGAAGCAATGAGGTTTTTTTATTTTTTTTTCTTCTCCTTATCACATCACAAATGTTCCATCTCTCATAAGAGACACTTTAACAGACATTACTCTATGGACTTTCAGGCATTGTTACCTATGTGTGGATATTAAGAGTGATCCAGACAAAGAGGTAGTTATTTTTAATATTTTTTGTCTCAATGTTTATTTTAATAAATATTTTAATGTCTCAATGAAATCATGAGAGTTTTATTTTAAAGGGAAAGATAAGAATTTATGTTAGTTAGTCATATCTTTCATCAACCTCTATCTTTTTGCAAGATCCTTGAAATATTTGTTGATTTACATGAAGTTATAAGTATGCAAAAGAATATCTTATTTAAAACATGGTTGGGCACAACTGAAATAAAACATGAAATTGTTATTCAAATATATTTAAATTTTCTTTGATTAATCAGGATTAGAAGAAAGACACAAGACTAAAGGAATAGCCTAATATACTCATAATTTAGTTTTTCACACTAGGTGAATGTGTCATGATTAAGGGGTGTGTGGCCTCTGCTCTATCAGATTGTGGAGCTCAGATGTGAACTACATATTTAACAGCATTCAGTCAAAATATAATTCAGTTCAGATCAACTAATATGATTCTAAGTGTAGCAAAAGCTTTTCCATTTTACAGTTGATTAGAAATTACATAGCATATTTT